AATAGTATACAAGTTAAGTTCTTAATTCTACAAGGCAATATTAAAAAAAATCCTGAATTTCCCCTTGCGTGAAACACGTGACAAATTTTCTCTAGGCATCTTATCTCCTCTATTTTAATTCACCACCCCTTGGAAAAGTACAAAATTAAACGTAAATTACTCACTATAAAATCGTCATTGCTCTGACAAACCATATTTTTATAGTCTTCAATTTTGTTTGGTTACAGAGCTATCATATAGAAAATCAAACCCCTCCTGCCACACCCATCCGTCACATCCTTTCAGGATTTGTTAATAGTTCTCTCTTACGTTTAATTATATGTTACCTATACCCAATAGAAAGTCAAGGTTTTCATCTATCAAATGACGTCTTGTATAACATTATGTCCTGAATGGTTAAATGTCAATTTCACTCACAGTACCAACATAGTTCCCATGAGAAAGTTAATGACTAGCTTGGTTAAATTTGTAACGACTCTTGTTGCATAGTTGGAAAGCCAGAAAAATTTTGAGAGGTAAGGGAATTTGTCTACTTTTTGCATGTTATTTGTCTATATTGTTTGGTGCATTATTTAATTAAATAAAGATTATTAAGTGCATTACTATCATCAGTATATAATAATTAGAGTTAACTCCCTTCAAAAATCGGCAACAAGAAAAAAGAAGATTGGTTAAGTATTCTATTTCTTGTTTTTTATGTATATTCTTTATGTATAATTATAAAAGTAACTAGAATGTAAAAACAGGGATCCTTTTAGGTTAGTTAAGATTAGACTAGGTAAAATAACTAATAATAATATTATAATAAAAACGTTTCATGAGACACATATGCGAGCAGCTCATAGTAGCTCATGGGTAATGTAATTTGTTAGCGTAACGTGAGCTGCACATTACCCAAGTGATTTACAACTTATCATGGCATGAATAGTAGTTAGACACGGTTCAAAGGGCAATAAAATTTAGTTATAAATAGATGTATACTGTTACAAATTTAGAGCTACTTAGAATAAACGAATGTAGTTTCATGTTAAAATTTGAAGTCATTCTAGAAAGAAAAAAGAGTAATTTAGATTTATTTAGATTTTTTTTTGGTGGTTACGAGGTCGGTTGATTTGACTGATTCTGTTTGGAGATAGGGTAGAGAAAATAACAGATAAACTATCAATATTTACTGAAATAAAACGTTGGAAATGCATTTAGAGGTTTTAGGGATTACACAAAGGAAATTTGAGATTTGTGAAAGGAGGAAAAGTATTTTTAATTTTAACAAAATCAATTTGTTGATGTAATTAAGTGATCCACCAGTAGGGGTAAGAATGTAAACATGCCCTACAAATATGGATGTTGAGTGAAGGGTTATCCTGTGTCCACACTTCAGAAGTCATGCCCTCGTCCAGAGATATCCCTCAATCAGAAGAGACAGATGCAATTTGACAGTTAATAATAAAACAGTGGTAATAATATGGGCATGGTCCAGTCACCATGACAATTCCTCGATATGAGGAGAGGATCACAAACGAGGACAACAAAACCCAAGAAAGAAACCCTTAAATATGCATGGAGAAGGTGCATATGCACACCAAAGGTATAAATGGTTCCAGAGAAGCCAGACTCCCCAAAAGTGAAAGAACCTCTTGTGTAGGAAGAGAATTAAAAGTGCAAAACCTGGTGACCAGAGATGCCATAGCTTGCAGTAAAAGAGGAGAAAGATGAATTTAGCCGAGACAAGAGATAAAGAAAACACCCAGAAAAAACAAATATTGAGTGGGCATGAGAAAGGACTTAGATCTCATGACAAGCCCCCCTAACCAAGTAGCTTCCTGTAAAAGAAAGGAGGTGTGAGGAGAAACAATCTGAGAACAGGCCAACAAAAGTTAGTCAAGAAAAAAAGAATGCCATCTCAGGGCCGTGAATATTAATAGTGAAGGCCCACATGATACCAATGAATACAACGAGAAGTAATAAAGAACACAGACAAAAGATAAGAAAAGCAGCATACCCAAAGCAAAAATCCAGAAAGAGATTGGAAGGTTAAGGTAATTTCTCAAATGGTAGGGCACTACCTAAAGCAAATCAGATTAAATTCATAGTCCATAGATCATTCTCAACTAAAGATAAAGTATTTTGGCCAACAGTAGTGGTAGACCCAGTAGGCATGTGGTAATCCACAACATGCTGAAAAATGGCTGCAACATCTCCAACAGTTAACAAGTCTCTAGAAGCCATAGTAGAAATAAAGCCTGGGTGAGAATAATGTCACTCAAACAGAATTAACTAAAAGTCACTGTCATTTGAGAATTCATGATAAAAAATTAAAGCTTTTGAAACAAAAGCAAAAAAAAAACAAAAATCAAAGTTACATTAACAATGCAAATTTCAACAAACTGAATTCAGGCAAGAAATCATGAGAGCAAGTCAAGGCTCGTTTTTATCTAAAAACTTCCTTGGACGACCAATTTAAACCCCCGTGTTATCCAACAGACGACTTGTACTCTGGAAAAAATCCTTACTCAAAACAGCATTGGAGTCTACTGCCCACATCATACATGTAATGTTGACTCCGATCCTCGACCAAAATTATCGATAAATTTCCTAACTACAAACTCAAAAATTTGAACCCTCACAAAAATATCTTTTGGCCAATTTTTGTGTTTGAAAAAGATTATACTTTGTACAAGAAAAATGTCAGTACAATCCACCAAAAGGGGCTGAAAACGTTAGGAAAGGTTCACTTTTGTGATCAGCTAATGTTTTAGTCACTAAACTTTCTATTGCAGACAAGCTGCACCTCTGTGCTACTTTCTGCAGGTAAGTTTTGTATGGAGTTCAACTGAGAGTGAATGGCTGTGTATGGTACAATACTATGCATACAGCTCAATTAGTTACATTACCACTCATTGTATTATGCAATGTTTGTTTGCATATATATGTGCAGGCAGGAATTCGTAAAGAAAACAAATGCCAATTATCTGAACATTTAATGAGATTAATTTCTAGTATAGATGCTTACAACAATAAAACTAACATGGCGGTCTCAACTTCTTACCGATAAAAACTAAAACAACCAAATTTACAATATCAAGCTCGAACTTTTCATCATTAACCATTACAGTTGAAACACTGACTCCACTTTCATATAGGCCTAAGGCTAACATTAGACAGACACGACAAATCGAGTCTAGGAAATACAAAAGGCCTAACTACCATGAGAAAAGTGGGATTCTGTTGTCCTCATTTGTGATCCTCTCCTCACATCGAGAAATTGTCATGGTGACTGGACCATGCCCATATTATTACTGGTGTCCCCTTATTAACTCTCAACTTGCATCTGTTTCTTAAAAGTGCATATGGGGAATTACTGTGAATAGAGGTTGTGTCACCTTCCTCTTGGTGGAGGGCTTTTGTTGTATGATGATGTCATCATGCACAAGCACAGTTCACTTTAAAACATGAAGATCAGTGGAAGTTGTCTCATAGGCAGACGCGCAAGAAAAATAGCTTTTTTGTGTGAGATGAGTTATCATCTTGAAATATATATTTCCATGTTTTTAAAATGCAAACCTATCAAAGGTGTTCAGGATAATTTAGTTTCTCTTATTATGACTTATCTCCTTACAGATTTTATGCATCTTTTTTTAGCATCAGGAACGTATCGTTTAATATAAGTACTTACATTTATAGTATCTAAGGAATTATTCTATTACTAACTCCTCTTTTTTTCACTGCATCATCAGTAACATATAAGAGAACAAAAAAGAAATTAAATAACATACCCACTTGCATGTGAAGTACATTTTGATCAATCCAAATAGGAAAAACCTGATCTTTCCAAACCACTCTAATTTGATTTATTAACTGTGATTCAATTATCTTTCCATTTCGTTCCTGTAAAAAAAAAAAAAGGTATTAATACAATCTAAGTCAGTCTTTCAAAAACCAGTCATACTATCACATGTTTTGAATAAGCCCCCAACACAATTTGTAATATTCAAGTACATTAATGTTCAAAGTATCAATTATGAAAAATACTGCAGTTTCTGAGTATGTTACATAGAGAATAAAATTAACATGGACAGTAAAGGCAAAGAAAAACTTACAAATAAAATAAAAACCTTAATTCATATAATGAATATGTATATCACAGCTTTACCTAAAGTAGCCAGTTTCTCCATTTGTCATAAAGACTTCTGGGTGTTGGAGTAGAGAGAAACGATTTCTTGTCTTGTATAAGACAAAGATTAATGATGATAATAATGTTAAGTCAGATTAGCTAAGCCTAATGAAGTATTTCACTACTCCTTATCTTATATATATTGCAATGCATGGTGTCTGTCCGAGCATTTGTCTGTCTCCAGTTTACGGTGGCTGTTTACCATGCTGCATTTGAAAAGCTGCTCACACAGGCAAAGCTCAATATCCACATTTGAAATGACAAGAGAACAGGCATGTACAATGTTGATGCCAAATTTTATTTTGCAAGCAAGATATTCTACACTAAATTGTTAGGCATTAATCACACTATCATTCACAATTTCAAAATTTCAAATATACATATATATATATATATATATATATCCTTATTATAAATAAATAAATGAAAAAATCAAGGTTTGTTGCAATGTGAAATACAATCATTCGTATTGATATGACAGCAGAAGTCACGTGACGCTGGTAACACATGATGAATTTCTCGAATGATCATGAATTACCTGGGAAGACCGAGTTTGTTCAGGACGCCCTCTTTTTTAGTATATAAGCCTGGCAGAGAAAGCCTGCAGCACTGATTGAATCAAGAGAGTTCCGGGTAATTTACGATTCTGTTTGGAGCTAGTGTGTGTGTTTTCGAGATTGTGAATCGCTGTGATTTATAGTGTGTATTATAAAAGTTGTTGAGTTTAAAGTGACTAGAAACGTAATGACAGTGGAATTACTGTGTACTAAAAGTTTGTATCAAGGAAAAATAAACTGGTTTAACCAAGAAAGGACTTGTATCGTTGAAGTTTCTCGGAAAGAATTTCTACCGGAAATTAACAAGAAAGAGATACGTAACAGTATTATGATGATCACTGAAATACTATAGTCACAAGCAATATCAGCACATCTACATGTATGCTAAAGGTTAGCTATTACCTGAAAAAGCTTTATAGGTCTTTAGGCAGAAAAATGTCTGGTGTAACAGCTTACACATCTAGTTTTTCTCTATATTATGTTCAAAGTGTTAGAGGTTGCTCAGTTTCCAGCTAAGTTAAAGAAAACCCCCTTCAGAATGTAAAAGAGTATAACATTGTTAACAAGAAGAAAAACTATATATATATATATATTTACTTACAATTATTTCCCAGTCATCACATGTTAGCGGATCCAATTTCACTTGAGTGCATGCTAGCACTGAACTTGCTGTTAGCTGTTGTAGTACAACCTGGCAACAAATGCAATCTATTTATCTTACTATACCATGAACACACTGAATGTCAGAAAATCTAAAATAAGCTAACCAGTATATGAACATACACTGCTCAATGTTGCATAATTTACAATTATTTAACTTGTATATACACAAAATAATTACTTTAAAAGCATAATATTAATTTTCACAACAATATCTCAGTTTTCTTTATTTTCTTAGAAGAACAGAAGCATCAGATATAGTCTAAACCTTCATTTTCAATACATGTTAACTTCATCTAATAATCTAGAAATAACCAATTCAGCATATGTAACTTCATTAACTGTTGGCAGTAACCATGCATGTACCTAGTACTACCCTTTTTTCGCTTGCAATTGTATCAATTTTCTCATAAAATTAATATGAGAGTTTAGAACTTATGGCAGTAATTATTAACTTAGGCTACTGATACTTTACTCAACAGTAAAAATTACAAACTGTGAAAATTTCATGTTATAATGTTTGGTTATGGTATGAACTCAAAATAAAATATACATAGTTCTAAAAATATTTTACTATTGTTTGAAAACCTAACAATACAAGTATAGTTCAAATATTATATGATTACTAAAATATAGTGGTATTTATAAAATTAACATAATAACTTACACAGTTACAGTAATTTGAACAGACTATTCTCCCTCCTATGAGTTACAATGAAGAAAACAGTAAATAAGGAATTTAGGTAAAATTAAATAACACAATTAATATTAATGAAATTAAATTAGTATCAGTGCCTTTCAAATAGCTTATATTTATTGCAAGCAACTGTTAGCATTTGTACAGGATACTCTAATGGATAACTATAAAATATTGATATGTGTACATAGACTTTGTCAAATAATCTTAAATAGTTACTAAAACTTCTAAGTTCACTTAATTGCTTACTAACCCATCTTATGATTCATGAAGAACAACTTTCAGTGACAATGATACAGTTTATATAGTTATTTTGAAAGGAAAAGATAACAGAAGCCACTCTCTTGGACCAAAACACTTAATAGTGTTCAAAAATAGCCAAACAATAAAAACTTTTCTTGAAAGTTCACTCCAAGTTTTGTATTTTGCAGTCAAACCAACCAAACTTTGTTTTAAGTATAAACAAAAGGCCATTTCAAAGAAACTGTTTTAAGTTCTAAACAAATTATTTACTAATAATGTATTTTACCAAAATCATAAGATGTAAATATGTTTCCAAAATATTAATTTTGCTGCTCTCTGTGTTTATCATTCTTCCTTACAACTTATTTATGATCTCAAAATAATCAAAAACTATATGGCACGTAAAAATGTTCATTTTAACACCCAAATTTAATTTGCTCACAAAACACAATTTTCAATAATGTATTAGTACACCATCCTCTACAAAATCCTCAAAAAAAAAAGAAAGAAAAGACACTTAATGTATCAAATCTTACCTCTTCATTTTCATTTATTCCTAGCTTATTTGCATATCTCTTGTTTATTTTGACAACAGGATCATTATCAAGAAACAGATCATGACCTCTGTAGCTTGTGCTGTTTGTGAAGTATGCTTTCTTATTGCTATTATAAGAAACCTTCCACACAGTAGGCTAGAATAAAAACAATACATAAATAAACACATTTAATTCTATCAAACAGTAATGGATCAATACATTATCTTCTGTAGAATCTGTTAAAAAAAACAAAATTTAAAATGTATAAAATTTTATCTCTTCATCTTCATTTCTTCTTGAATACTCTTTCACAGTTCTCACTACTGTTAAGCACAAAAATTAAATAACTTACCTTCTCAACAGTGTCCTGAACCCATTCGTTTGGAACAATTAAAAAACAAGATTTTTTGGATGAAAATTTCACTCTGGCTATTTTAAATGGTGCCATTGGTTTGAACAGTTTCTTTCCTGCAAAATAATACATTAAATTATTACTAATGTTAACATTTAATTGAAAATTATAGTTTTACTATGCAATTTATAATTAATGAAAAATAATTCTAAACCATGGCTATTTTGCTTTCCATTCTTACTCACATAAAGTTCTCTGCTGATTCTTTTAACAAGTAATAAATAAAAACTAAATAGTGAAAATGTTTCATTTATAATATAATTTTGCAATACATTCTGTCACTCATTCTTTTCTTTATCAAATTCTTTAGGATGCAGTCTTTGCCATGTTTAACATTTGTATCCAACAACCAAATGCTTCCCAAATGTAAATAAAATTTTAATTTGAAAATCAGCTGTGCAATTGCTAAGTTACAGCACTGTTAAAATTGCTTTTACAAGCACACATACAAGGCAAAAGACATACACATATTCTCTGATTTATGACAAGGTTATATATAAATATATATGTTCCTGGAGAATGTAAAGCATAAAAAAAAAACAAATCAAAAATGCTTTTCCCATTATTCTAAAGGTAAAAAATAGGGGATGCCACACTAATATATAATTTTCTTTCACTATAACATAAGAAAAATACTATTACAATTAACACAAGCAAAAACCTGAAATAAAGGCATTTTCATTAATTAATAAAATACAAAATGTAGTTTACTGTACTTGTCAAGAAGTGGTTGTTGCTTTGCTTGTTGAAGTGACAGGAGGAAGGAGAGAGGCTACAGCAGTTACTGGTGAGCAGTTTCAAACGATGGCAAGGGATCATCAACTACTGAATTTGAATTATGTAGTAGTGAAAAATAGTTTAGTAACTTAAGATATTTCAATATTATAACAGAGAAAAATAGCTTTCTAGCTATTTGACTTTTGTAACAGTGAAAAATTGTTTTATAACAAGCAAAATTTTCGTACACCTTTTCTATACATTTTTGTTACAGCAAAAAACTTGAATGCAAATTGAAAAACAGCAAAAAAATGTAAACCAAACCTTCATAAATCGAGAGATATCTGTATTAGACACTTAAGGAGTGGATACATGCCTCAATATGTGTACAAGAAAATATAAGAAATATGGAAATTCCAGGGTTATTAACATGCAAAGGCATGCTACCAACTCAAGTAGGGAGATTGATTTGGCTAACATAACTGACATTTCAAACTTTGAAGATACATACAAGTTTACACTTGGATGGCTATGCACCCAAAACATAGTGCTCAACATATTGTCCTCATAGATAGTAAATCAAATATTTTTTTTGTTATGGTGTAGCTGATAAGTCCTACAAACTTTCCGCTGAGCAGATGCTCATACAATTAGATGCTGACCATCCACATTATTACAAACTTCCATCATTTCCTTAGGCAAAAAAGAGCTATACTGTCTGCTAAGCAGAAGCAGCAAACATCTTTGACCAATTCTACACTTGGCAAAAAAAAAAAATTTTCTCTGATACTAGAAAAAATACAACTGTTTCTGAGTAATCTGACAATGTTGATTCTAATAATCATGTGGAAAATTACTGATCACATCTAGTTTTCAAGTTATGATAGATTTATTTAAAATATTCTTTATATATCATGAAAATAACTTTT